CCGCGAGTTGCCGACCAGTTTCAATGAACTCGATGATGATCTGCCCAACATCAACACAGTCCCTAAGGAAGTTGAACTTCACGTCGATGTGTTTACTCCGGTCGTGTAGAACCGGATTCTTCGCGAGGGTGATGGTGGGCTGGTTGTCCACCATCAGTGCTGGTGGGTGAGCTTCCACACCGGTCAGCTCGCCCAGTAGCCAGCGTAGCCACACAACTTGGCACGCCGCCGTGGCCGCCACTACGTACTCTGCCTCGCACATAGATAGCGCCACCACCTTCTATTTCAGCGACAACCATGAAATTGGGGCTGAGCCGAGGAAGACGAGCATGCCAGAGGTGCTCTATCATTCGTCGATGTCCCCCGCCATGTCTGCATCGCTGAACACCGTGAGCTGCAGCCTACTCCCGCCGGTCTTTGGGAAGATGATCCCATGATTCACCGTCCCCTTGATGTAGTGTAGTAGCCGCTTCACCACAGCCCAGTGATCCTCTCTGCGATCCTCCATGAAGCGACTAACGTAGCCCACGGTGAACGCAATGTCTGGCCTCGTGTGGACTAGGTAGCATAGACCACCGATGATGCTCTGGTAGAGTGTTACATCCACCTTCGCTGTGGTGCTGGCCTTCGTCAGCTTCAGCCGCTCCTCCATCGGAGTCACACATGGCTTGCACTCAACCATGCCGCTCCTCTCCAATAGCTTGGAGGCATACGCGCTCTGCCCGAGCATGAGTTCCTCCTTCCCTTGTCTCACCTCGATGCCGAGGTAGTAGGAGAGTGCGCCGAGATCGCTCATTCAAAAACGAGCCGCCATCTCGCGCTTGAAGCTGTTGATATCCTCCATGTGCACGCCGGTGATGATTAAGTCATCCACATACACGCCGACCACGAGTTCCTCCTTCCCCCATCATCGCATGTAGAGCGCATGCTCAGTTGCGCACCTTTCAAACCCAAGCTCACCCAACGTGGCATCAAGCTTGGCATTCCATGCTCGAGGGGCCTGTTGTAGCCCGTAGAGCGCCTTGCGCAGTAGGAGCACCCTATGCTCCTCTCCCTTGATGGCGAAACCTGGAGGTTGCCTGACGAAGACCATTTCCGCTAGCTCGCTGTTGAGGAAGGCCGATTTAACATCCAAGTGATGGACGCACCAGTCCTTTGCTGCTGCCAAGGCTAGTAGCAAACGAACCGACTCCATTCACGCTACTGGTGCAAAGACCTCCTCGAAGTCGATGCCCTCGCGCTAAACAAAGCCTCGGGCAACAAGACGCGCCTTGTGCTTAACAATGGCACTGAGCTCATCCCTTTTGACCTTGTACACCCAATTCAGGCTGATCGGACGACATCCTAGAGGTGGATCGATGAGCTGCCAAGTCTCATTTTCCTCGATCGCCTTCATCTCCTCTAGCATCGCCTGTCGCCAGTTTCCATCATGCTCGGCTAGTGCGGATGTGGGTGGTTCCTCTGCATTGATGAGTAGCAGCTCTGTTTCATTGAGAAGCCTACTCGCCAGACCTAAGGGACCTGTGCCACCGCCGATGTCATCCAGCCTGTGGAGCCACACCTCCTCACCTTCATGGTAGGCGTCCATGAACTCAGTGATGTCACTTGGAGGTGAGACGAACTCAATCAGCGTCGATGGAGTTCCCTGTTCTGCCGGAGTGCTCGGCATAGCACCTGAAGTTCTCGGCACTGCTTTTGGATATCTCGTTATAACTCCTACAATGTTCGGCCACACTGTAGGAGTGCCTAGCCTTAGTCTTGGAGTGGTTGGTACCATAGCAAGACGTCTTGGCTCTGCCGCGGGAGTGCTCGGCACCCGTCCTGAAGTGGTCGCCACCACTGTAGAACCTCCTGGCTTGACTCCTGGCGTGCTCGACATCCCTCCAGAAGTGCACGACACTCCTCCTAAAGTGCTTGGCATCCCTCCTGAAGTGCTCGGCATCCCTCCCGAAGTGCTCGGCACTGCCCTAGGAGTGCTTGACTCTACCACCGGAGTGCTTGGTGCTACTCCCGGAGTGCTCGGCACCTGTTCCCCAGCGTCTCCACCACCATGGATGACCAAGTGCTCGACGGCGAAGGTGTTGGTAAAGCCGCCAGCTTCCCCCGTGCTCGGACTGCTCCAGTCCCAAGCCGCCTTCTCGTCGAACATGACATTGCGCGAGACAAGCACTTTGTCTCCACGTGGGTCATAGAGCTGGTACGCCTTGGTACCCTCTGTGTAGCCTAGGAACACCATCAGTGTGCTCCTGTCCTCCAGCTTGGTGAGGTTCAGCTTCATCTTCCTAACGTGGCCGATGCAACCGAATGTCCGAAGGAAGGACACGCTCGACTTGCACCCATACCAAGCTTCGAACGACATCTTGCCCATCAGAGGCTTGGTCAGAGCACGGTTGAGGATGAACACCTCTGTGGTCACTGCCTCTCCCTAGAACCTCGCTGGCATGCCTTTGGCCTTCATCATGGATTGGGCCATGCCGACCACCGTCTGGTTTTGTCGCTCCACCATGCCATTCTGTTGTGGCGAGTACGTCGCGGTGTGGTGTTGCCCCACACCCTGATCCATGCAGTATGCAGCGAACTCCACCAAAGTGAATTCACCACCGCAATCAGTCCTCAGCATGCGGAGCTTCTTGCCACTCTCGGCCTCCACGCGTGTCTTGAACTTCTTGATCGCCGCCGTCGCTTCATCCTTGCTCATCAGGAGTTACAACCACATGTAGCTACTGCAATCATCCACGAGCAGGAGGAAGTACTACCGACCACCGCAAGTAGCAGGCATCATTGGCCCGCAGAGGTCATCGTGAATGAGCTTGAGAGCTTCCTTCACGCGATACTTGGCCACCTTTGGGAAAGGTAGCCTCCTATGCTTCCTAGCCAGGCAGCTATCACACAGCTCACCTCCATGCTTGATGTGGGGTAGCCCTCAGACCATCTTCTCTAGCCAACCAAGCGCGTCGAAGCTAAGATGTCCGAACCGGGCATGCCACATCCACGGTTCCTCAGAGTGCCTTGCTGCCAGGCACACTGGCTGCTCTACCTTCAGGTCGAGCAGGTACAACCAGTTTAGGGACCTCTTCACCTTGGCAAGAAGTCACTGCTCCTGGTCCCTGATCCTAAGGACACTGTCCTTGATCAGTATCTCGCTACCGTGCTCATCCAGCTAATCAATGTTGATGATGCTGCAACGTAGCTGTGGGATGTAATATACATCCGTTAGTGCGCGGTGCTCTCCGTTCTGGCACCTGAAGATGATGGTGTCGCGCCCTTGGATTGCCACCCGAGAGGCGTCACCAAACTTCACCGTACCGGTAACATTGCCATCGAGCTTGGAGAAGGCTGCATTGGAGCCCGTCATGTGGTTGCTGGCACCAGAGTCCAGATACCACCACTGCTCCTGGTCAACGCCCACATGCCCGAGGTGGACTTGGGCGCACGGTTCATTGAGGTTGACGGTCTTCAGGGCCTTCCTAGGTCCTTCCACCATCGTCGCCTCCTCCCTCTTTTTGGCCTCGACATCGTGCAGTGCACAGAACATCATCATCAGGATAGTGGCCTCATCCTCATCATCGGCTTGCACCAGATGAGCCTGAGCCTTCTTTTCCTGCTTGCGGTTTGGGCACTCCTGTGCCCAATGGCCCATCTTCCCGCAACGCCGGCAGGCATTGGGGTCGACCTGCTTCTTCTTCGAAGAAGCCTTGCCGCGACACTTGCCATCGACACCGCGGCTGGAGGAGGCTGCCTTCCCAGAGTTCATCTGAGTAGCCCACTCCTCTTCCGTTAGCAGGAGTTTCCCACTGTCCTTCATTGTTGCCGCCTACTCTAGGTGCTTGTCCACCACCCACAAACAGCCTGTCACATCCTCAATGGTGAGGGTGCACAAGTCCAGCATCGTCTCTATGGAGAGAGCGATCTAGATGTACTTCGTCGGTACAGAGTGGAGGTACTTGGAGACCGCCTCCTCTTTGTCGATGGTGACGCCGTGGCTCTTCAGCTTGCTGATGAGCATTTGCAGGCGGAGGGAGAAGTCCTCCACCGTTTCACCATCTTTGAACTTGAGGTTTACGTACTCCTGCTTTAGAAGCTGGGCCGTCGCCTTCTTTGCGCGGTCGGAACCGACGCGCATCCCCGAAATAGCCTCCCATGCCTCCTTAGTCGAGCTCTTCTCCCCCAACAGCTCCCTATACTCTGCCAGTACAGCAGCGAGGATAGCCTCCAATGCTGACATGTCATCTTCTTCCACGTCAGTGAAATTGTCAACATCATTCTAGAGCCATCGGGCTCTGAGCTTGACCTTCATGGTCACCGACCACTCTCCATAGTTGGTGCGAGTCAGCGTCGGCCAACTGGTGCCGCTGATCTCTCGCACCATGCGAACAACGACCTCCGGTCGTGGCTAGGCAGCCACAGCAGTGCCACTACTATTGCCCATCTCCGAAACCGCCCATCATCGCCAGCGGTTAGTCTGGCGATGGCGCTTGCATGGCTCTAATACCACTTGTTGGCCCACAAGATCACCGACTTAGATGAGTGAACCACTCATCGGTCTTGCTGAGCACCCGCTAGTGTTGCCGAGCACCCACTAGCCGTGCCGACCACGAACAGGCATTGTCCATGCCCACACACTATGGCTGGAGCTAGAAGAAGAAGGGAGAACAGAGCAAGCACGCACAATACAAGACACCAGCATTGGCCGAAGCCCTGTCTATGAGATGGCAAATCTAAACTCTCTTTACTGAGTTGTCATGTATGTCTATTTATACAACTCTATCCATCTAGTCCTACTACAGTGCACATGCTGCAACAGTAACTAGATAACACTGACAGGACTGACTCTACGTCGACCACTGCATGTTCCTACAATGCTGTAGGTGAGCCGTGCGGTGCTTGCACCTGCAGCGGCTACAATATCACAGCAGGGGGCCAGTTTGGCGCCGCCTTCCCTGACTGTGTTCACACAAGGTAATAGTGGATTAGCTAACAAAGAGGAGAAAGAAGACGTCATGGCGCAACATCTCTTGGTCGCGGCGAATAGGTACGGCATGGAGAGGCTAAAGTTGATGTGCGAGGACAAGCTGTGCAAGTACATTGATGTTGGCACGGTGGCAGCAATACTGACGCTAGTCGAGCAGCACCATTGCCACAGGCTAAACAAGGCGTGCTTTGAGTTTCTTAGCTCTGCCGTGAATCTGAGGGCGGTCACGGCAAGTGATGGCTTCAAGCTTCTGACTAGTAGCTGCCCCTCTATTATGGAGGAGTTCATTGTCATGCTTGGCAATCTAGTTCCGTAATGCTTGGTATTTTGGCAATGGCTATTGATGTTTTCTGGACTTGTGTCTTCAGGTAGACTGTACTTGTGTCTTTAGGTAGACTGTTCTTCAGCTGCCAGGTAGACATATCTATCCTAATTCCTGTGGAGATGTTTAAGCAGTAGCATTGTGCTTTGTGTCCTTGCTAATGAGATCCAAGAGACTAGTCAATTTTCTGTTTTGATGTTAAGGTTTTCTATGGTCCTCAGGTACCAAAATTATAGCTTGAATCTAGTATCAAACGTAAACATTCAGAATTACTCAAACGCAATAGCCTGCTATCCTGCTTATCCATGCCCGTAGCTAAGGTTCCAACGAGGACCTAGGCCAGCGTCTAGTTCACTGCCCCCTCTCTCCGACTCTCCTCACTTCTTCTCCATATCCGGCAGGCATAGAAAGGGGTTCGGGGGGAGGAAGGCTGGCTAGGCGGTGGGGACGGTGGCAGGGCGGTTTAGGGGCCCCGACGGCGGTGTGGGCAGCCATGCCAGGTTGGGGCGGGGGAGCTCCATGGCCGGAGCTCACCGCGGAAGGAGGGGGGAGGGGAATATGGTGGTCGTCGTGGGCGTGCTAAGGTTTCACCAGAGCTCCATGGCCATAGCCGCAGCCGCCGAGCTTCGACAAAACCCTAGCACGCCGCGGCGGGGAGGGTGGGCGGCGGCGGGGGCGAGGACGAGGTGGAGGAGGGGCGGCAGAGAGGAAGAAGAAGAAGACCGTGTGCAAGGAGCCATGAGATTGGGATGGTGACTGATGGTTAAGCAAACCATTAGTCACCTGAAACGGAGACAGAGCCAAAAACATTGGCAAAATAGTGATTTTTGGTGTCTCATGCTATAATTGGTGGTGCCTCTTGGCATTTCTTCAAGGATGTTACGCAAGCTATTTGATGTTCCAACAATTTCTTTCTGGTTTATCTTATAATCTAGGGCATGCTTTGTTGTCAGATTGTTTGTTGTCACGCTGTCAGCTCAATTCTTCTCGCTATGTTAATCCATGCCATAATATGTTACCTGACAGTTTGAAGTCAGCTGCAAACCATTGTTTTGCTTGCATTCAGTTTGATGGGCCATGGGGCTCGCATAAAGGCCCGTTATTAGGGCGACATCGTGGCGGCCCCCGCCTCCTCCCTGTCGCCGTCGCCGCCACCGCTGGCCATCGCCCCAGCGCCGGTGTGGCCCCCTCCCTCCCCTCCCCTCCCTTCCCCCACCCCCTCCCTCCACCAGCTGCACGCTGGCGTCGGCCATGGCAGGCCCGTCGCACCTTCGCCATTAGGGTGGGCATCGTTCATGGCGGTCGCTCCCTCCCCGTCAGCGGCTTCCTACCCGTCGACCTAGTTGCATGGGGGAGCCGGCACTGGAGCGCCTACCGCGTGGCCACCACCGCCAAGGACGCCGGAATGCCGCTGTCATGTGGCCGCAACTACCGCTGTCCAAGACGCAATCGCCAACGCGGCCAGCGACCGCTCCCCCACAGATGGTCAGTTCCCTTGCGGACGCCATCGGCCAGGTTGGCGGTGGGCCTATCGCGCGCGTGGGGGGCTGGTGGGCCCGAATCTAGGCCGCGCGGCCCGACACTGGGGAACTCCCCTGTCTCCGGGTAGCCGTCCGTCATAGTGAGCGCAATGCGCGGCTAACTCACCCTGGTGCCACAGGCTGCCTCGGGTCGCCCTGCCGCAACCTCGCTCTCTCCCTTTCGGCCAACCCTTCCACCCATGGGAGCGCTCGAGGGGACGTTCCAAGGCTCGTCACTGGCCTGAGGATGAGGATGGCCATCTCGATGCCTCGGATGCAGAGCGGGCGTTAGACCGTCTCCCCAGCCCTCTACCTTAGCAGGCCTCCACTACAAGAAATATGGGCTTTTATGACAATTAGATAATGACGAAGACAAATTGTTTCCACTGACTGTCTGCAGTGATGAAGTGACTATTGTCATAGAATATGGGTCACTAACTAGCTTCTATGACCACCAGGGGACATTGTCTTGATACACTGACAATAGGTTCTCCTGTTACTGACTTCTGACAACACTAAACTCGTCATAACATATTGAACAGAGTACTGCCACGTGTATGGTGGCATGGCACATGTGGCGTGACAGATGACATGGCAAATGACATGGTGGGTGACATATCAATGAACATTTGGCCCATATAGCATGGTTTTTTCATTAATATTTTTATTTAGAATCAGCCCAATTGGCCCAAATAATTTTTTAGCCTAGCAACAAATTGGCTTGTTTTTATCCATTGAGGCCCAACATTACGGTCCAAGCCATTGTAGGCTGGCCCACTTAAAAATTCATCCATATTATAACATACATAATCCTCATCCATAAATAATGTTGCAGCCAATACAAAAGTATGTTCCAATCATGCATCATACAGCAATACATGATCCAGCCATGTCTCCATAAAAACACAACACAAACATGAATACAAAGTTATTTTAATATACAAGTTTCAGCCACCAAACAAGTTCCAGCCAACTGCAGCCAGCAACTAGCAGTACCAGGAGCCATGTTCCAGCCACCAAACTGCAGTACCAAACAACGGAAAATAAAAATCTTTATGATACAAGTTCAAACACCTCGTGAAATAAGTTGTCTAAGTTGAACAGATAAACAATTGATTAACTGGGGAAAACATCTGGTAAGAAACTTACATACTAAGTGGGGACATGTGCATCAGGTACAGGCTGCAGCTCAGTCATATCCTCTGTTTGTGCTCATATCCCATGCAGTACAATAAAAAATCTTCCTGCCAACAGAATCATATGTTAGTAAAATCCTATCTCTAATATATAAACCACCACACCAATGTGTAGCAAAACAAAAAAAAACACCTCACGGCTCACATATGAAGGTCCAACACAGTGTATCAATATCAGCTCCAGGTCCATGAACCTACAAAGGTGAAATACAAATGCAAAAACAAATTATTATGTGAAAAGTAAAGTATAAGAAATTTTTCACAAAGCAGGATTACAGAAAAAGGCGTTCAGCTCCACGTAATTTATATATTTTCTATAGACACAGCCTTGTGTAGTTACCAGCTTTAAAATCCCACAATATTGTGTTTGTGTGACCTAATACTTGTTAGAATCACAAGGTAATACCAGAACTTTAAATTGCCTATTACTGGCTGGCTGGTACCACTAGAAGCAGTTACCAGCAATTAATGGCCTGTTACCACTTGTTATTATGTCTGACAGCAGCATGACTACCACCAAAAGATTCAGCTTCGATCCAGATTCTAATTGACAGCAACGTTACACAACAGGCCTTTTGTCCTTTTGGTCGTACTTTTTCAACGAAGAAATAATGTTTTTCAACCTGTTCGTTTGGCTAGGCTTGTTCGTTGCTGAATCGTGAAGAAGTATTGCTGGCTGAAAATTTACGATCGTTTACGACCAAGCGAACAGGCCATTTCTCTCGTAACAAATCAACAAACAATACTTTTCAGCTTGTCTTTTCAGCGAATCGCACAGGCTATAACATATGGTCATCAAGGTATCTATACAAACCAGCCTAGTGGCCACCAGGTGTGAGCATGACATTAAACTCGAACTATGGCCAATGACTGCTGCAATTTGGGCTACATCTCGTAGCAGCAGAACCCATCAAAAGATGAATATATTCATTCCATTTCTTTTTTTCAGGAATACGGTGTTCTGACTAAACATCAATGACTTAGGTCCTATTCGCTTGTTTTATAATCCGTACTTTTCAGCTTGTTTTTTCAGCCAGAACAGTGTTTTCTCTCACAACAAATCAACCGGAACAGTATTTCGGCTTGTTTTTTCAGCGAAGCGAACGGGGCCTAATTGATATGAGAATAATGAGACATGTGAGTGTGTTGACACAAAAACTAGGCTACTTAACACACGACAAGCCTAGAAGATCTGCTTAGCTTCAAAGGCAGTCCCGCCGATTTTGGGATCTAGGGTGTGCGGTCAATTTGACCTGCAATTGACAAGGAAAAAGATAATCGATCGTTTAAGGTGCAACGTGTCGACTTAGATCCGAGACAGTTCCATGAGATATCGACTAGAGAGCCGATGAATGCAACAAACTATCGACTATGAAGCCGATATCCGGTGAATTTGTATGATAAAGCAATTAAACCAAAGTTATCAGCTAATTGAACATATCTATAACTCTTATAAAGCAAAACACCACTAGAAGATTTATTTGATCCCACAACGATCCACGCCATCAACCACTATTTCCGTCTTCGTTGCCCCTCACGTCATCACGTGACCATCAAGCACTTTTCCATGCCACTTGCACAGCTGAACAGCGGCATGTCTGCTCCTCTCCCACCCACACCATCACCGAGAGAACCCACCACTTCGCCTTGCCACTCACCATCTCGCTTTAATGTCCCGCTCCATTGTGCTAGGAATGCCACCAAGGGCAATTTTTATTTAGCCCTGGTTTAAAGTTGTCTTTCTTCCTTGGTCCTTAAACAAAATTTCTTACCTATTTAGCCTCACTCGAAGTTTCGTTTTCCAATCTGGCCTTACCGTCATCTCCTGCCTCTAACACCGTTAAGTGGCACATGAAATGACCAAACTGCCCTTGAGACATTATGAGAAACCAAAGGTCACCCAGACAGCATAACAAACATAATTTTTAGCACTTAATGAACAAGTGAAGAAATTGAGCAACAAGTTAGAGAGCTGCTACAACTCTCAAGTCACCTTTGAGCATATGTTGAAGACTCAAAGAAACTTTGGTGACAAGAGTGGAGTCAGCTTGAAGACTAGCAAAGTAAATCATCAAGAAAGCCACAATGACATAAGTGGCATTGGCTTCAACAAGAGCAAGATCAAAGGCAAGAGATGAGGCAAGAGAAGATATGAAAGAGAGATGAAGAAGAGAGAACAAGAGAAGCTCTCTCATTTCATGTGCTTCAAGTGCCATAAAGTGGGACATCTTGCAAATGGTTGCCCCAATGAAGAAAAGCTCAAGTTGAAGAAAGAAGA